GGATTATGATACTTATCTTCATTAATTTGAAATGGGTACATTCATTTCAATGTATCTTTTGCTTAGGTGTTTTGACTTTTTTCCTTACTATAATTCCACCTTCATCTCAATTTATAATATACTTTAAAAAAATCAAGTATATCAATAAAATTCATTAAATATATTTTACAACTTTATTTTTTAAAGCAAAAATAAACTTTTCAATATGTCTTTCATTTAATACTCCACTTGTGAAAGAAAATAATCTTATTTTTGTTAAAATATTTTATATTTTAAGATGCCAAATATTTTTAAAAAATATCTAATAGCTTTCTCAAACTGTAAGACTGTTGTCTTAATTGACAAAAATATTGAAACGGAATTACAATTTGTAATTGACTTTCAATTTTTAATATGAAATATTGGAAATTAACTACGAAGATAATTAAGGGTATTTAAATAATTTTAATTTTAAATTTTAATTACTGAAGAACGTTTGATATTTTGACATTTTAGAATTTGCATCTTCTTTAGTGGCTTTGGTCATTTAAATGTCATCCCACCTCACGCGCACACACGCACACACAAATTAGAGTCATTTGCTGTAGTGGAGGATCTCAGTGACATGAAGGTTCACACGCAGGCTGCCAATGCTAGGTGTAGATTTTTAGTGAAAAGAATTATTTAATGGGTGAGTTAACCGTAAGCAAAAAATGGACGGTTTTTTAAACATTTGGATGAGAAAATAACTCAAAAATAAGTCTTAATTCTTTTACGGTATGACCAGGCACCCACATGAATGCTTTATGTTCACACATGGGACCCACTTATTAAGATTAATGTCCGTCTGTGGCATGTTAACAACAAGACAAGCATGATTATATTCTTAACTTTAAGGGAGAAAATGACTCGAAGTTCAAAATATCATGTGTTTCGCAGCAAATACTTCAACAAAATGGAAAGTATTAATCCTTCAGTTCCCACGAACGTATGGACATAGTTGTTAAATTTTTGAGTTAGTTTAACAAATTTAACATTTCTACATTTTCAGCTTATAAAATCATGTTAACTCACTTATAAATTCAGACTAGATGTAAACTCGGTTAAACTTGCGAGTTTACCTCTAAATTTATTATTTTTACATTTATAACTTACAAAATCATGTCAACTAATTCATAAATTTGGAATAGATGCAAAGTTGATAAAACTTGTTAAGCTCATCAATTTTTTTTTAGGTGAGCGAGTTAAATATATACTATAAAGAATTCAGTTCATCAAAGTTATGAGACCTGATTCAAAGAAAAAAAAACTTGAAATGAAAAAACTAATATTAATAAAAAAGAAAACAAAAATACCAAAAATAAATGCCCTTGTTTTAATTTTTTATGTCTTGTATATGATAATTTATCAATATATATGAGTTTAATTTCAATGATTTATATTTTTAATATATTTAAATTAAATTATTATTATATTTTAATGATTATTTATTAATAGAAGTAAATTATTATAAGTTTATAATCTAAATTTACAATACAAATTTATATTTGTATCATAAATTTATTTAAATTTATGAGTTTAACAAGATTGCCTATTAGGGCTTCATGGCACAATCGTCTCTTCAAAGTCTACTTTTTGCATAAAATAAATTCCATTTTCGGCGTGAGTGATTATTTTTATATGACTGAAAAGATAAATTAACTGAGAGGAGCATAAAGTAAAGTGGCCGCACTACCAATTTGATTCTGTTTTTATTTTTCTTTAACCAAATTTGCTTTTTTTTTTAATTAAAACGTCAAGGAATCTGCGCAAAATTTGTTAAAAGTATCAAACAATTTTATTGTTCGTTACTTTTCTTTTTTTTTTAAACCATAAAAAGTAAATTTTGTCAATAACAAAAAATATCTTTTTAAAATAATAAGTATAATGAATATCGATCTACTAATTAAACTGTTGCATGCACAGGAGTTAAGATTTAAATTTCTAACCACTTACTTAAATAATAAAAGTCTCTATTATATCAATGCCAAAATAAACGTCATTGCTACTTATATTCTAGCGTAGATCTTTTGTTAATTATAGTGTAATTTGAACATGTCTTGACGAAGAGATTGTAATTTGCATCATGGAAAAAGGGCATGCTTTTCTTACGAAAAGTTCATAAATGTGATTCAAGAAATTTGTATAAAATTAAGATCTTTTCACAACGAAATTGTGGTGGGTCTAGTGCATATAGAACTCAATATAACATATTTCATTGTTCACATTTTGTGGATAGTATGGTTTACTTAGATATTCGTAATATTTAGATTAGATTAGGTATATCGTTTATATAGAGATGGCACATGTTCTGATAATTAAATATATAAATGAAAATCAAAGGCACTGGGTTCCATAAGCCTTTCAAAATCATAGGAGTCTAAGCATGACTATGGAATCAAGCTAAAAAATCAAAGAGACTTCTAATTAATTAATTACTACCATCAGATTGTGATCTAATGAAATGAGTTTTTTTTTTAAATACAAGACTACAATAAAATCTTGTAAGAAAACTAAAATAAAATTAAGTCATGTCAAAAGTCATAAAGTTTCTACAGTTAGCAAGTGGTCTATCAAATAAAATAATATTAAAGTGTTCTCTTGAAACTTTGTAAGCTAAGAGGTCAGCACAATGATTAATTTCTCTGCAGACATGTAGAATGGGTTAATTTTTATATTGTAATAAACTAAGTTTTGAATTGTCACTCAAGGAAGAGTTTATATTTAATATTTAATTGTGTCTTAAATAAAATTATCTTTAATAAATATATATATATATATATATACATGTATATATGTATGTATATGTATATGTGGGTAACCAAAAAATTAATTAAATGCTTACGCTTCCAATCCTAATTCCTGGGCACGAATATATGCGACAGTTTTTATATAAATCAGTGTGCCATGGCCTTTTCTTTTTTTGGCCTGACTGCTATAGTATATTAGATGTGCTCTGTTGCTTTTAAAAAAGATAGTAATATTAGATGTTGTGGTTTTTAGGTCGGTCAGGGATCCTCTGCTGTGAATGCATTCGTACTTCACCTCAAAACTTATTCAGAAATAAATATAAAAAATCACATAATTACATTAAAATCTCACCTCCTTTACTAAAATTACTAATTTATTGTATTGAAATTGTTAATTATTGCTGGATACTTGCTAATATAACTGTTTAATTGATAATTAAACAGCAATAATTTACAGCCTCAATAAAGGAAATGAGATTCAAAAGTAATTATAATTTTATAATTTCATTATATTTATTTGTATTTAGATTTCTGGTGTGTGACATAGAGTGACTTCCCTAACTTCAAGTAAATGAAAAAAAGACAGTATTTAGTTAGAAGAAAAAAGCTCGAACTCAAGGAAATGTGGATAAGATTAATCAAGGCCATTAAGGTGTTTTGATGCTAGAGAGCCTGCTATGAAAAGTTTATTACGGCGCATATGGGAATCCTTTTTAATCCACCAGTGTAGTAGGAAAAGAATATAGGAATTGTTTGAAATTATTTTTATTTTATTATTTTAAAAATTAGTATTTTGTAAAATATGTTTTGAAAATAAAAATAATAATAATAATGTGTATTTTTTTTCTTCATTCTTTAGAACAATAATTTCAAAGTACTTATAATTTTTTATTTTTTTATTCTTCAAAATAATATTTTATTTTTTATTCTTTAAAGTACTTTTTATAAACATGTTATCAAATAAATTTTTTTATTCTTTTATTTTAAAAAATAAAAAACTAATTTTAAAATAAGTTTCTAAACAGCCCCATAATTTTTACATATATGTGCGTGCGCACCTATTGTTATTCACTTGTTTATTTTATCTCTTTCACTTTAATGTTGCGTTTGGTTCCTTGGAATCAATAATAGAGAAAAGGAATTGGAAAAAAAATCCTTATCAATGAGTGTTTGGCACGTAGCAAATACAATTCTTAAAAATCTCAATTCTTGCGAAACAAGCAGAATTGGATTCCACCACGTGTACTATGGAATGCATTTCTATGATACTTTCAATGTTCCTCTCTCGATTTTACCCCTTCCCCCATCCCACACCTTCTTCCTCTGGCCCTTCCAGCAGCGATGAGCTTTCTCGACGTCGGATTACAACGTCCTCACAAGCGAATAACACCAATTGTGCTCTCTTGTATTCTAAAAAGCAACAGCGAACTTGGCATTTTGAATTTCAGTGATATAATTGATTTTAGATTTGAACGCGACGACAACGGACTTCTTCAATCTCCTTGTGTGCTTCGTTGCCGCCGTTACCTTTTTTGTTTGGGCTTCACAATTCTGGTTATGGTTCAAAAAATCGGACATCGTCATTCTCACCGATTCCTCTGTTTCGTTGCCTTGTAGGACCAGTCTGTGGGCATTTGGTGGAAAATCTAATATCTGTTGAATTATTGGTGCTGGTTTTGTGCTTTCTTCCCGTGAAATGTTTGCCGCCGGTTCATGTATGCGAAATAGATAAATCTAAAATGTGTTTAGCGAACAGAGATTGTCTTTCTTTGTTGTTCTAGTTTGTGGGCGCATGTTTCCTTTCGGTTACCGCTGGTTTTGTGATATGTCAGAGGCAAGCTGAGATGGGGTTGGGGTCCTCCAGGGTCAGGGGTATTTTAGTCTTTTTATATTATGAATACACATGCAAATAAAATAAATACAAAGATTCCATTTCCAACTTAATAAAATTTCTTTTCCTATTACAATTCTAATTCCATCCGTAAACCACTATCTCCAACATATCCAATTCCTAGACTCTGGGACATGAAAGCAATTCTTTGCGGATTCAAGCGGTACAGAATTCCCATTTAAGAAAGCCTGCTTTATTGTTGGCTAGCTTGCTTGAGTACAGGATCAATACTTTGTGCCAATCACTGGTTACTTGCAAAATAAAAGCAAATTCCCCGCAAATTGCACTTTTTCCCCCAATGAAAGTGCTCCAAACAGTATAATACGCTCAAATAGGTCAAATTTCAAAAACCTGATCTGCCATGAACATCTCATTAACTATTACATCAGCTAATGTATTCAGAAGAAAAGATCTACCTTCATTATACAAACCCATTCTGTCACTAATTTAGCAAAATCCCCATGCACTGTGCTTCACATCTTGAAAAAAGTTACTGCACGTGTATAACTCCAAATTCAACAAGTTGAGTAATTGACAGCTGCAAAGGCACGTGACACGATGGCTCTCCAACAAAATTGCCTTGGTGATATGATCAACTACTACTAAGAAAAGGTTTCAACCTAAAATTCGAATAGAGTACAATTGTTGCTCAGAAATAACTACCTATACACCCAGACATGTGTCCATGGCAGTGACAGCAAAATTCACCACCACAAAATTTCCGTATAGATCCCACCTACTTTCTTTCCTTCTATGAACTTTACCTCTAAGCCCCTGTCAAGTCTTTAAATATCAGAAGAGCACAATAAATTATGGAAAGTTACACTAAGATTGTGGAATGCCTGATAGAAGCATCTTCATCGTCTCATATGTCATAAAGACAATGCCAACACTGGGAACAACCTTGTAGTACTCGGGCAGAATGCCTCTGTACAAACCCCGTAGACCTTCAGTCCGAAATATGTACCCAAACGTCCCAAACAAACCTGTCTTATAGACACGGGCTCGACCAGCAGCCCCCTCTAACTGCATCCTGCGCCTGACCAGATCCAAAGGAAAAGTTGCTGCTCATTTCAATAAACCATAAAATGAAATTAGAGTCAAGATATATAACACTTTATCTACAAGCATGAGGACTTCATACTCAATATTGAGAAGGCAATAAAAAAGTAGCAAAACAACCGGAGCTGGCTGCACAATGACAATTGTATCATCACACAGATAAGAGAATTGAAATTATAATCAAATACTAAAGAATTAAAATTAGAATCAAATACTAATACAAGTTGAAGCATAATTTTCACTATGTTTTTAACAGTCCATCTAAGAATAAAAATGAGACATTCAGCAAGCACCAACCTGTTGATGATGCAATGCCAGACAAACTGCCACAAGCAAGACTGACCATGACAGTTGAATCATTGGGCCTAAATTTAAAAGAAAAGAACAATTATTATTTACAGACATATGCCACCTTGTCATAATCAATTATTAGACAGTACCATATAGTATAAACACCACTCAGTTTTAAGTGAGTATAAATATTCAATTATTCACCTGTGGGACTGCCAAAAGGAACGCAAAGTCTCATAAACAGAAAAACTTATAGCTATGCTAGGCCCAACACCCTGCGTCACACAAAGTAACAATTACAGCAGTTGAAAAAAGAAAGAGACAATATTAAAGCAGGTTATTGAAAAAGCCACATAAGCATACCATCAATGTCGCTCCAAGTCCTTTGTACAGACCTAGAAAACCTTCCTCTCTACAGATGGTACCAAAAGCATGTGAGATACCCCTGTAGTACATGGCACTTCTCTGCAGGAAAAAAAATTGTTTTAAAAAGTCAAAACAGAAGAATCACGATACGGGGGAGCAATCCATTATACACACCAAACAGAATGTAAAGTCATTGCCACATGCATCTAGAGGCTTGTAAAGTATCTCTAAAAATTCCTACCTGACACAATAGCTTCTAATTACCTGTGCTGCAAGTCGTGTTCTCACAAGATCCAAAGGATAAGTGGCAGAGGCAGAAGTTATGCCTGCCAAGCCACCTCCTAAAAAGTGCACAAACGGTTCTGAACCTGCATAGCTTCTATGGTCTTGCCCCATAAGTGAATATATTCCCTGCAACAGAACAAAAAATAAGTTAAAATTTATACAGGCAAAATGAACATGAGTGATAACTACTTAGCCACATACAGATCGTATAAAGAACATCAGAGGTTACATTCTTGTAGCGTTCATAAGCATAGAAGCTGACTGCAGAATAAGGAAGACGGTGAGCAATGGTCACCAAATTGCCTTTCCAAAATGCTCTAAATCCTTCTTCACTGACAATGCGTGAAGCCTCCTTCCATATGTTAGGCTTGGTCAATGCAGCCACCTCTGAATGCATGCCTTGCACCTGATATTAAGATACGCGGAACAGTCAGTTAACTCTTAAAGGGAATCCCTTTGAATTAACAAAAGGAATAATGGATGCATATTCACATTTAAATCCACTCAAGCTACACTTGAGAATTAAATGCCATCAACATAAAGAGATGTCAATCATCCAATAAAAACTAAAAGCAGCACCATAACCAACACATTCACTCGCCTATTGCAACTTGACTTGTACCATATAAGGATCAAACAGAGACATAAGAAAATAATAAGGATCCTTGGCACTTGGGACACCTTTCCAAAAAAATTAAAAAAAAAAACCAAGAAAACAGGGATACTATGTGTCAAGAACACAACAGTATCTTGAAGACTGCATACTTTTCATCGGACTATCAAACTTCTCCAGCCTACTCCTGAAAAGTGAAAAAACCACCAAGAAAATTGAGCCCAACAACAAGCATTCATTGTGTGATAATCCTGTTTCCACATCCAAGATTAAATTCCTCAATTTCATAAAAAGAATTCATTTTATGCAGAAAAGAAAAATGAGAAATTGCTTTTCATATTTTGATTAAAAAATTACCCCAGGCTTCAAAATTGACTTTATATAGAAACTAATGAGTCACGAAATCTAAGAAATGAGTTGTATTTTTCTGACTCATAAATAGTAGTGCTAGTTAGAATTCTATACTGTATATAACTAAGTAGATTATTTCGCTCAAAGCAAGTGCACTTGAAAAGTTTACAGAAATGAGGGCAGTAGCCAGGCTCATCGTCAACTATAGTTTCATTGTCACTTGAAGAAAAGGTACAGGCAACAGTTTAAGTTGCGAGTTCTGACATTTATATAGTTAGACTTCAACCTTGATGCAGAAAGCAAGATGGAAACTTTAGTCCAACGAGCGATGCATCTCACAACTGAACTGGAAATCGCGCATGACATAACCAATTTGGACCCCAAAAACATTATCCAAATGCTTATTTTCATTGAAACAACTACACCAGAAATGTAAATCGCTCAATTTATCACGAGCACCATGAATATGAAAGCTCAAATACTATGTATAACCAAGAGCAAAGATAAAACCTGAAAGAGAATAGTAAGGCGTGCTAGCGGCGCAGTACAGGTCTTGCTAAAAGCACCGGCTACACCGCCCGCAAGAAGTTGCTGCGCCGTTCCTATCTGGGGTTGCTGATTTAGCGTCTGTTTTGTATGGCTGCTCGGGCGCAAATATTTTGTGGCACCCCCATCGGCGACGCTTCCATGGGCAGTATTCAAAGCTCTTTGTCCACCTTCAACAACGACACCAACTCGCGCTTCCATAATCGTAGGATTCTTTTTTTCTTGAAATTTCTGTGTGCCAGAAGTGGCAGAGCTGGATCTCACATGGGTCTCACTCTAAACAGCAAACTATTATCGGAAGATTTGGAAACAGGGAATGCTTGAGACATGGAAGTGATGAAGATACTTGCGGTGAAGCCGTAAAGGAAGGCTTTGATTTCAAAGAAAAACCCTTCTACCCACGAGGGTTTAGGTTTTTCTGTGGTCTGGACTGGCTTGTTTTCATCAAATGTGACCGAGCTGCCCTCGAAGCGCAGAAGACATTGCAGCTCATATATTTTTATATTATTTTTTGAGTTTAAGGTTATTTTTATCCCGCACACAATATAGACGTTTCTAAATTTAAATATAAATTAATTATATTTTTTAATTTTAAAAATTTCCTTTATAATTATTTTAAAATTAAAAGTATTTAACATCCATTAATTATTAATAAATATCATTATTTTTAATATTTTTTATTAAATTAAGAATTATTTTTACTTTTTAATTTTTATTTAAAGAATAATTTTTATCCTTCAATTCAAATAATTTATAACAAAAAATATTTAAAAATATATTGTGAGACCCGCTAAAAAAGGTTAACTAACAAGGAGAAAATAGCATGGTGGCAAAGAGACTATTTAAAATTATGAGATTGAATTGACCTATAATTAAGTTTAAGAATATTTATAATTTTTTATATACAGTTTAAGAATAAAAATGATCCTTAATTCTTATTTTTTAATATAAAGTCACAAAAATCATGCACAAATACAATAAATTGGATCATGTTAAAACTCATAAGATTTCTGTTATATTTTCAAGTAAATTATAATTGCCATTGTCAGTTATTTTAAATTTTGTGTTAATACAGAGTATCTTTTAAAAACTTACTTTATCTAAAATATAAGATATGAGATAATTTTTATAATTATTTTTAAATCTATTTATTTATTATTATTTTTTTAAAATGGTGTATTGAAAATTTAATTATCAACATTAAGGTGTTTATATAAAATATTTAATAAAAATAATAATTAGAAACGTATTAATTTATTTAAGAGATTAAGGTTTCACCTAATTTTTTTAAGTAGTTATCAATGTCGTATATTATAATTTAAAAAGAGTGTAGATATGTTATAAATTTAGTTTCCATACCTTTTTCATAAAACTAGAAGTTGTTAATCGTAGCATAATAGCTCAAGTATATTTTTAATTTCTTAATTTTATATATAATTTTAAGTTCATTCCTTAATTTCATAAGGTATATTTTTAGTCTATTAATTCTAACATTGTTAGTCTCAAATTTATTTTTTTTTTTTTGCCAATCATTGTTAATTTGAAGAATTTAAACTTAATCAATCAAAATTTAAGAATGTCTTGTCAATATTTTAAATTTTATTGTAATTTTTTTTTATGATGAAACTAATAGTGTTAATGTTAAAAGACTAAAAATATATTTTATAAAATTAAAGGATTAAAATAAAACCCTATTAAAGTTCAAGAACTGAAAATATACTTTAGCCTAAAATAATTGTTGTTAATTCCTTATAATAAAGTTGTCTAAATTTAAATAACAACTTATCAATATCATAAAAAATAAGGTCACCATTCATTTTTATTTCCAAACTTTTCTTAAGGAACAGTAGGTACCTTACAATGATAAGTGGGGTAATTTTTTCTTGAATCATTTTTTTCAGAGTGAAAAACCCATTAACTTTTTTATTTTCTATTGTGGCACATTGATCGAGGCTAGTTGCTTACCTTTAAAATAATAACTAAAATAAACCCTAAATGTAGTAAAAGGTCAACACAGCTCATCTCCCTAGTGATTGGCTAATCTTTAATCCTAAGATTAATTAGTGAAATAAGCCATCCAAGTGTTTGAAATTGGTTTTTATGAAACTACTAAACAAAGAACTAAATTATAGCTTAAAATGTGTAAGTTAAAAATTCCCTTTAGAGAGATAGAACTCTAGAGATTGGTTAATGTTGAAATCTTTATCTCCTGAATAAATTAAGCCAATTGAGTTCTTTTTATTCCCCTTGACCAAATTACATCGAACTAGGATAACAATCCCAAGCCAATTAACCTCACTAGTTCAATTCCTTTAGTTTTATATTAAAGTTCTTTGTTCATTTTACTAATTGGTGTAAGTGTTGGATAAGTGAGACAATCAAATTCATCCCTCAAGTATCATGGCCAAATGCAAAGAAATAAGCAACCATAAGATTATATAAAGCTACTCAAGTGCTAGCATCAATTTTACAAGATTATGTAACATCAACGCAAGCCACTCACTAAATGAAAAACACAATTATATGTATTAATCACCAAGTAGCTAAATTAAACTAAGAACAAATGAGAGAAAATTCAATGTCACAAGCATTTTCTCTTTACACAAAGACTAAATTCAAATTAGATTTACAAGATTATGATAATCAAGCCCTCAATTAAAGTATCTAATCGAGTTAAAAAAGAAGAGCTAGAAAACAAAAAAAAGCTTAGCCATAAAGCTCATAATTCATCCTTCATCTTCCTCTCTCCAAAATTCCTTCAAAGTACCTAGCCTCTCATCTCTATCTTCATGGCCATCTCAAGCTTCATGAAGTAGCCAAACTCTATAGCCATTGAAATGAAGATTTGAAGTTTGCAACTTGATAACAATAGAAGGAAATGGACAAAATAATGGAAAGAAGAAGATTGGTGTGTGTTTTGTGATGTTTTGAGTAAAAATTGGTAGAGAAATGAGGGTCAAAGATAAAGAACAATGGATGAACAAGTGAGAAAATGTGATATAAAGTGAGACAAAGATGTGAATATGAGTTTTTGATATGAAATTGTGGAAAAGGACATGTAAAGTTGTGAAGCTTCAGCCCTCAATTAATTAAACAAAAGGTAAATAAAATAAAAATATAGATGAATCCAAATTACATGGAAGATGCTTGTAAGGTGACATGCTCCTGTTGACTTATAGATAATTTCAAAGTGCATCCAATTAATCATATGCTTCATTCACATTTAAATTGGATCTACTCTACCTAATTAAAGAGAAATGATGCCACATAAGTTTAGATTTTCCTCGTTGAAGCTTTGTCCATTTGACACACATGTGCGCATTTCACCTATATCACAAAATATATATAATTCAATTTAATAAAATGTGACATTATAGAATCTAATTAAAGTACATTATTATATTCATATTTAAAAGGGAGAATTTATTAAAAATTAGGGTTGAAAATAAGTCAGGCTCTTAATACAGGCCTATAACCTGGCCTACTTCAAACTTAGCCTAACCTATTTTCTAAATAGACTCAAGCCTTTAATTAAGCCTATTTAGTTAAATAGGTCAAGCCTATTTTTTTAAAGCCTAGTTTTATCATTTGATTTTTAATTAGTCTATTCTTTTTTATTTATAATTATATTTTAAATTATATTAGACCTATATATTAATCTTAAAGTTATTATTTTATTGTTATATTACATTATAGTTAGTCAGTTCTTTCAATTATTATATATTATAATTGATAAATCAAGTTATATATTATATATTATAATATTTTTAAAGTATATTTGAGATGTTTAAAACTAAAATGCAAGTCTATTTAAAAGACTTACTTTTTAAGTAAGCTTTTAGGTCAGGTCAGATCAGGCTTTAGATAAACTCAAACCTAAGTCTTGAAAAAAACTTTATACAAGCTTTAAGTCAGGTTTAAACTTTTGATTTATCACATAAGCTCATGCCTATTTGGTCAAAGTCTAACTTGACCTAACCTATTTTCACCCCTATTAAAAATGTACAAGTAATGGGTTCACATAGCTATAAAAAAATCACACACAAATGCAAACTCAAAACTAGATCAAATAAATATGCTTGAGAAAATTAATAAAATGTATTGACTTTTATTTAATTAATTTCAAAATAAAATAAATTTGTAAAATCTAATTTGACCACTCTTCTTCCACACTTAAAATACATTTTGTCAATTTTTTTCATATATTTTCTTAAAAGTTAATTTTTAAACTAAAATACACCTAATGCACAAAACCTAAATACTTAGGCAAATTTTCAATTCTAATTTAATATGTGTGCACTTTGAACTAATAACACATTATTAATTGTCCTGATTAAAATAAAAATTTTTGTAAAAAAGGAGTTATATCACATGTGTGTGGATCCACGCACACTAATGGATAAAACTCTAATTATGCCTTTTAGTGCTAATTTGTTCTTAAATTATTTTTTTCATAAGCGCTGAGTATTATAAAATATTGTTAAATTAAAATTTAATAAATAGTGTTAAAATTATTAAATATTTTAACATTTAATAATTTAAATATCACTTATAAATATTCAATGAAAATTTATAAATTATTTTTTAAATATTAATTGTCCAAACTAGTCATTTATAAATTAATAGATGAACTGTAAATTGTATGTGAAGATTTGTAAATAATAATAAAAATATTTACAAATAAATTATAGAAATAAACTTATAAAAAATTAATAGTGGTTAAGTTCTTTAAATTTTTTAAGCCATTCTTCATAATTTTTTATTCAACTTATAAAGGGATTAAACCTCATTCATCCATCGTGATAAGTACAAATTACTCTAGATATATTATAATTAATATATTTTGAGCCTAATTAAAAAGTTGAGGAAGTAACATATCAGTTTTAAATATTCATTAATTTGACCATTAGTTAAAAAAAAATTATAGAGAGTGATTAAAAAAATTTGAAGGGCTTAATCAATTTTAATTTTTTTATAAATTAATTTTCAATCATTTATTTTTAAATATTTATTATTTACAAATATTCACATTCAATTTACAAATCATCTATAAAATTCTAGAAATTGGCTTTACTTAATATTTGGAAACCTAGTGATACTGACACAGTATAACTTGACTTTCAACAATTTTACTCTGTGGAATTAACAACTCTTTCAAACCTAATTCCATTAAAAAATAAATGGGAGAATGATAAGTAAGGACTTTATAAGAATGTTAATACCAAATTAAGAACTTTAGTGTTGAAACATGATAGAAGAAGTACTGAAATTTGAGAATATCAATATTGAAAAGTCCTAATCCGACATTAATGTTCTTACAAGGTTCTTATTTGTCATGCTTTCAAAATAAATTTATAATTTATACATATTATTTAGGATAATATTAACAACTTATCAATGCTTGAATAAATTATCAAATTTCAAACAAGTTGATATCTATAGTTTAACAAATTGTAATTTGA